GGGGTGAGGAGTGAGGACCCAGGTGGGCGTTCAGTGCCGGAGAAGAGAGTGACGCACGGACAGGGCCCAAGGGCACCGCTCGGCCACTGCCTGGCCCCGCACCGAGGCCCTGCGCCTGTCCGCCTGCCCTCAGGCTCCGGTGCTGTTCTCTCCTCCCTTCCTGCTGCTCTTCCGAGCCCACCACCTCTCCGGCCCCCATCCCCTCCCTACTGGAACGTCCCCTTGCCTCAATTCGGGGCCCCTCCCCTCACTGGGGGACAGTTACCATTGGGGGCCATGGCGGGCATCACCAGGGACATCTTGGGCCGGGAGGTCTTGTTGTGGCTGATGGCTGGAAGCAGCAAGTGGTCCTGGAGCAGAGGGGCGGGCCGATGATGGAGGAAGGTGTCCAGGAGCTCCCCAGCTCTGGTCTTCACCCTCCCACAGAAGAGGCGGCTGGGAGGCCCAGAGGGCAGGCGGGCAGCGAGAGGAACTCACCCTTCGGAAGGACACAACATAGAACGTGTCTTCCCGACGGTCGATGGCATCCAGGAACTCCGGCTGTGAGCGGTCTGGGTGGCGATAGAGCTGCAGCTGACCCACCGGGTCCCTGGGCGGGCGGCAAAACGGTTGGGAGTGAGCCCTGCACCGCTCCCACTGGGGAAGGGAAGGCCAGAGCCCCCAGCGGGTGGTGAGGGGCCGTCACCCTGCTCGTGACAGTGACGACAGCATGGGCCAGCGCTTCTGCGTGGGCTCCAGCGGGATAAACGGCCCTCCCCTGCGCTCACCTCTCGGGGGGCCCCGGCGGCTGAGTGGGGACGGCCTTAGCTGGGAGCAGCTTCTTGCGTGGCTGAGACTTCTGGAAGGAGAGGTATCTAAGGATGCGGAGAGTGTGAAGGGAGAAGGGAAGGAGACAGGCGGGCCCTGGGAGCCGAGGCCGCCCCCGACGGGACACCAGCCCAGCGCCCTGCGCACCTACCTGTCTCTTCGGGGCCCTCGGGGGGCTCTTCCGCCTGCCTCTCTGGTGCCGCTGTACCCAGCCGCTCAGCTCGTCGGCGAGCCTGGGAAGCAGGGGGCAACACGTCTGCGCTGGGCCAAGAAGCCCCTAACGGACCCATGTGCAGGAGCCCACCACGGCTGTCTGGGGGTCCGCACCTCAGGGACTCGGTCCGGTTGAAGTGCCGGCAGTCAGAGGAGAGGAAGAGCTGGTCCAGGTCCCTCAGCAGCAGCTCCCTGGCCGCCCCGGGGAAGGCTGTCAGGTTCCTGCCGTGAGGGAGGGAGCGAACGAGGCCACCATGAGAGGCTGCCCCGCGCTCCTGTGGCAGCAAGTGTGGTGTGGGCTCCGCTGCCTCGAGGCAGCGTCTTAGGAGCCCCCCACTCCTCACCTGAAGCTGGGCCGGGCTGCAGGGCTGGACTGTGGCTCCTCGGGGCCCTCAGGAGACCCCTGGAAGGGCTCCGTCCCCTGAACCGGGTGCTGCTCTGAGAACTCCAGCAAGTGCCTCTGGGGCCGGGGCTCCTGCCCGCCCGTGTGGGAGCCGGGAGCCAGAGGAGGAGACTCGCTGATGCTGCGTGTGCAGAAGGGACAGCACCTGAGCACCGCCCAAGCGAGGCCTAGGGTATGCGCCCCAGCGTCGGGAACAGGAAGGGCCCCCACCTCACAGGTCAGGCAACAAGAAAAGAACAGCGTCTGACCGGCAGCCTAGAACCCAGCACTGAGCGGCCACGGTTTCACCGACACTGTCACACCATGCACCCTGCGTGAATGGCGGGCTACACAGAACTCTAGGTGCTGGAGAGAGGAACCGGACCGGGCCAAGAGACGATCAGGCATTCCCACCTGACAGGGCCAAAGTTGAAGGCAATGAAGAGCAGGAAGACCATGATGCAGACCACCTTCCTGTTTCCGGACCCCAACTTGAGCTCGCTGTTCTGAGGTGCGAAGGAAGAGACAAGGGAGGCGGCGAGTCGAGTCTCCCACGGGCAGCTCCAAGCCACCCGCTGCCTCCCAGGGAGGACCAGACTGACCTCGGCCAGCAGGGCTTCTAGCCGCCGCCGGAGGGCAGCATTCTCCCGGCGCAGCTGCTGGTTGTCGGCCAGCACGGCCTGCAGCCGCGCCTCCAGCCCCTGCAGGTACTCCTTTTTCTTCCTCCGGGACTGGCAGGCCGACTCCCGGTTCTTGATCATTCGCTGCTGCCGTTTCAGCAGCTTTGCCTGGGTACCAGGGGCCACAGAGCAAGGAAGATGAGAGGGAGAGCGGCCCGCTCCACCCATTCTCCTGCCGACACAGCCAGACGGGGAAGGGCCTCTCCCCTAACCATTCCAGGGAAGGAGCCCTCTTCCAATCGCCCTGGAGGTGGGAGAAGGCAGACTGCAGGAGGAACGTGGAGCCTCCCTGGCGGGAGGACACCCGATGCTCCTTTGCAGAGCCCAAGTGGATCCTTGCTGAGTGAGGAGCAGTTGATCTGCCTTCCCCTGGGAAGCAGCCTCTCTCCTCTGCTGCCACAACCCTAACTGAGCATGACTTTCCTCGTGCTTGCCCGAGACCACCCCCATTCTTTACCAGCAGCGAGGGCACGGACCGGAAACCACCCACAGTCCATACCCCAGAGGGCCACGCTGACCGGCAGGATCCAGGATCTGTGCACAGATATACAGCTCCCCTTTTCTTGGGATCCTAACTCCCTCCTCCCCCTATGTCTGTCTGTCTCTCTCGAACACAGATCTCCTCATCCTCACCACCCCAGCGCCCTGCCTACCCCATACTCACATCCACCTCGGGTGGGCAGGGGTTCCCAGGCATAGGTGCCGGGACGATGCTCTTCCTCTCGGGCCGTGGCCCAGCGGGGGCTGGCCCTTCAGGCTGGACTCGGATAGCACCTTGGATGAGGACGACTGGGGACACTGAGGCAAAGGAGCACATCAGGTCCTTCTGCCCACAATCCCGCGCTCCCTTACGAGGGCGACCTGGCCGGCCCCTCTCTCCTCCCACCTGCAGGCGGCTGGACAAGCGGCTGCAGCAGAACCGTGGTGCTGGGAGGCACGGCTCTGGGCGGCATCTGGACGGTGGTGAGCACCATGGGTTTGGGCTGCAGTGGTGGCTTCCGGGCGGGCGGAGCTTTCCCTGGAGGAGGCAAGGAAGACATTTCAGGCCCAAGGGGCTCTGGCCAGGGGCCCCAGGCTCAGGAAGCCCTCTTACCTGAGGAACTTTCAGGGGATGGACCCACGCTGATCTGGACTGCTCCGAGTGCGGGGGCCGGGGCATCCCAGAGGAGGCACCCCTGGGGGGATGGAGACTCTGTCTTCACTTCCAGCACCTCCTCGCCTACACACGCCTAAGTGGGGCCGCCAGAGAGGTAATCAGAGGAGAGCCGGGCTCAGTACAGGGAGAGAGGGACGAGATGCACACCTGGCTGGGGGAGTCCGCCGAAAGCAGGGACGCCTCCGAGTTCACAGAGGAGGACGGAGAGACAGGTTCCACCTTGGTCTGGACCTCTGTGGAGGGGCAGAAGAAAGCGAAGCTGGCTGTCAGGAAGTGGTCGTTCCTCTGTGGACACACACAGGCACCCGGGAGGAGGGGCTGTGGAGCTGCCAAGCAGTGGCTGTCTCCTACCTCTCCCTGCCGCCTTCCTCTCACCTTTGGTGGGTCCTCCAGGCTCTCCCTGTCCTCCACTGTACCCGCTCCCTCCTTGCAGACCATGTCCACTCACAGACGAGGCCCCAGCAGGGGCGTCTCTGCATTCAGAGCCCGTCCCCATCACATGGGCTCCTCACCTTGCCCCAGCCCAGCACACCTCAGGGCTGGCCCCACCCAGCCCGTGTCCCAAAGGCCTCCGCTTGCGCCCGATCCGGACTCCGGGCCAAGCATCCATCCTTACTCCACAGGCCTGAGTGGCTCACTGCTCCTCCCTTTTCACAAGTTCCCTCCCACTGTACGTCAGCCTCCCAGGCCCCAAGCAAGAAGCCTCAGTCACCTCTGAGCAAGACCTTATGGCGCCTGTTCGCCCTCTTTACAGCCTGTTCATCACCCCATGAACAGCAGTGTCTGTGAGGCCTCATTTGGGTGAAATGAAACCCACAGGGGCCAAATGCAGCCCCGAGGTGAGCAGTCCACACTCCCAGAGTCCCTGCCACTCATTGCGGCACTTAGACTAATACTGCAACTTTGACTTTAATCCGACTTCTATTTGGAATAGGTAATAGCCACATGCTACAACTACCAAAAGAAATACAATCATATGGTACCAATTCCAAAGAAACAAAGGGGACTTCTACAAAAAGTAAATCTCCTTCCCTTCTGTCTTCTCTTCAGAAGTGACTGCTATTAGAACTAATTAACCATGATGGGTTGGAACCCTCGAGAATTATGCTCTTACCACAGTCTTAAGTAAAGTACAGGCCCTCAAAGAACACCTGAATATTAGGAGAGAATGTGATATTTTTGTTTGTTTGTTTTTCTGAGACAGGGTCTCACTAAGTAGTTCAGACTGACCTGGAACTCACTATGTAGCTCAGGCTGGTCTCAAACTCACTGCAATCCTCCTGCCTCAGCCTCCCGAGTGCTGGGATTACAGGCGTGCGTCACCACGCCCGGCCACACGAGAATCTGATTTTAATAATACCGTCTTTTGCAAAGCACAAATAGTCTTTGCTGCTAATGGTGTTTTAATTCATATTTTGTGTCTTCTTTATAACAGTTAACAATCTGCATATGATCTGTTTGTCCCTCTGAACCCACTCTCCACCTTCCCTGCCTTAGCTGAGGCCCAGGGAGAAAACCTGAATGGACGGTCCCAGTGGACTGCCCCGCCCTCCAGCTTCTGCTTGGAGTTCAGCTAGACAGAGGCTAGGCCAAGAGACGCACATGGCACTGCGTCTTTGTCAGCCACCAGGGCTCACAGCCACCAGGGCTCACACCGAGCTCAGCATCTTGCCCCGGCCAGAACCCAGGCATCTCCCTCTCTCGGTGCCCAGGGGCTCACTGCGGCTCCCCTTCTCCTCCCCTCCTTCTCAAATCCGCCTTCTGCTCGGCGTCTGCGCCTCCGCACCTGACTAGGTGCGTGAGCCCCACCTGGCCCTCCTGGCTGCCGTCTGGCCTTCTGCAGCCCACTCTGCCCCACCACCATCATCCTCATCACTGCTCCCTGTGACTCCTGACTCCCGGCTCCGCAGGATGGAAGCAAAGGGCCCTTTCTTCCTGCTAACCCTGAAGGTCCGCACCACTCTCCTCACGTGTGTGGGTCCTCACATGCAAGTGGACCCTACATCCTCCTTCTGGCCAGGATCTATGTGTCCTTCAAAGTCGTTTCAGTCCCCAACCCATGGATGTGCTAACATTTAAGGAGATGGGCATGCTGATAAACCTGATTTGGTCATTACATTATTTAACATCTGCATGTTAAATTGTAACACTGTGTCTTACAAATAAGCACCAAACAGTATATATCAGTTAAAAACAAAATAAACTGAGTGATGCATGCCTATAAGCCCAGCACTGAGGCAGGAGGATTCCAGTAAATTCAAGGCCAGGCTGAATTATATAGTAAGAACTTCAGGGGAAAAGAAAACGATTGGGAGAGTAACATAAATATTCCCTACCCATGGATGCCCAACCCTTTGGCTGGCCCAGGATACAATGAGCAAAGAGAAGTATTTCTGGACCGCATATAAGTAACAAAACTTTTTTGAGACAAAGTATATAGTTCATGCTGCCCTCAAGCTTGTGATCCTCCTGCCTCCCACGTGCTGGGATTACAGGGGTTTGCCACCAATCTCTACTATTTTTAACAATATTTTTTTAACTTTTTAAGAGAGAAAGTGGTCATAGGCTGCTGCTTAGACATACAGTGATACCTTGGTTGTCAAATGGCTCCAAGCTCAAATTTTCCACTCCTTGAACAACAAGTTTCAAAAACCATATACTCAGTGTTCCAAATTTTGCTCAACAGTCAAACTAAAAATCTAACTTGATAAAACCCACACATGCCCACAGTGAGTCAGTCACTCGCTGTGCCTCGCCGTGGACAGAGGGACAACGCTTCAGTCTAAGCACTATTCTCACCCAGACAATACACAGTGCCTGTATTTGTGCATTAAAGCATTCGTCACTGAGCTTTCTCAAATGCACAAAATAACAGAAATGCCTTCAAAAAAATTTAGTGATATCAGCAATAAAGTTAAGAGGAAAACTGTGAGAACCACAATAGTAAAAGAAATCACTGTGAAATTTGTTAAAAGTCCTGGAAAAATGAACTTGTATGTGTAATTTCTGGGCCTCAGAACCAGTTATTTGGTTTTCCATTATTTCTTATGAGAAAAATAAGTTCAGTTCTCAAATGTTTTGGTGTTGGAACATGAGTATGGAACAAATTGAGTTTGACAACCGAGGTATCACTGAACTTAGCTGTCCGCAAGTTATTTTAAAAATGCAAATTAATGGTGAATGACACAGGACACTAGAAACAAGAAAAAGAGAAAGAGTCACCTCTGTCTATTCAATGCTGCCCTTACGCTGGTTTCTGAAAGCTCTCTTTTCCTTCAGGCTTCTCTCCTAATTACCTGCTATCTCCTCTCCCCACACTGTCTTCCCTGTCCAGCTGCCTGCACCCCCTGCTGCACCTATGCACATGAGTGCCCATCCAAGACTCTACCTTGGTGAAGCTCAGGTCCATGCCAGCGGTCGTTACCTGAGGGGTCATCGGCAGAGGGCCCCACAGTGATCTGGACGATTTCAAATGGAGATGTTGGGTCGTCTCCCAGGAGGCAGAGTGGGGGTGCCAAGGATTCTGCCTTCACATGCAGCACCTCCCCTACTCCAGGGGCCTGGTGACAGGGTCCAGGGAGGCAGAAGGAGGAAAGAAAACAAGAGACGTCTTGAGAGTAAGAGCAGGAACAAGAGCTTTAGAGCTTGCAAACCACCGAGTGTTTGACCTGTGGTCTGAGTGGTATGGAACATCCCCTGTGCTGTCTCAAGCCCTCTGTTTTTTCTATTCTCTGTTATTCCTGGGAGGACTGATGAAACCTGGTGACTGTCTACAGTGAACAACTTCAGCAGGAACAGTAGCAGCATTCAGCAGTTAACGACTGTCTTCGCAGCCCCACCACTGGGAAAGGAGGCTATTACGGAAAGGGACAAGGCAGAAGGCCCCAGACATGACCCATATGTGGTCCAAATAATCCCCTCAGCGCCTGTGGGCGGAAGGGAGGGGCGCTGCCACAGAGAACAGGAAGCAGGTGGCTCTCTGACCTGGCTGGAGGGCTCTGTGGAGAGATGTGAAGATTCAGAGATGAGGGAGGAAGAAGAGCAGGGGGAGGATGGCTCAGACTTCACCTGAAGATCTGCAGGAAAAGGGGTTAGAAAACAATCAGGTCGTAGAGCCTAAGAACAGTCTAAGAGGTGTTGGAGAACATGGGGTCTGGGACTTCTTTCCCAGGGCCCCAGGGCATGGAGGAGGTGTTAGGATACAGGACATTATAGTTTCTGGGGAACCGTGGGATGGGGAGGATGAGGGAATCACAAAGGATATTTTACCTGGGAAGATAGGCAGGGAGTCCCAAGGGGGCTCAGGGGGGCTGGCATCCATTCCCACATCCATGGAGCTGCTGTCAAACTGAACAAAGGCGGGTGTGAGAAAGAAAGGAAAACACCAAGAGCGCTCTGGCCTTGGTTCTCGGACCACTCCCTCCCAGCCATCCCACCGGCGATACCGGGACATCTTGTTCCAAACAACGGAAGAGCTGCGGCGGCTCCTCCGCCACTTCATCCAGGCCAGTATACAAGGTGCCGTCTGCAAGGAGAGAAGTGTCAGAAGGTCGCTCGGCCGCGCCCCGTCCCTCATTGGCTCCGCACGGCCAGACCCACCGCCCGCCCACTGGAGAAGCTGCACAGCCAAAGAGCTGCAGCCCGCGTTCCCCGACCCGACCGCGGAACAACTCGGCGTTCCCGCTGGCAGCGAGTCTCCCCATCCCAAATCTCCCGAAAGCGCGACGAGCCCCCTTCTCCGCCCTCCTTCAGATGGTGGATTCCATATTTGCCCAGCCTTCCTTTTTGGGCTTCCGCTTCCTTCCCGCGTGCCTCAGGGACACAGTTCGCCACAGCCCTCTCCCCTCCCCGAGGCCTCACTCCGCACACCCCAGTCCTCCGGGCTCAGCAGGTTGTCGGTGAAGAAACGCGTCGGATCCGCAATCTCACTGAGGAGCATCAGCTCCGCCATCTTTCCCCCCCACCCCCCTACCCTGAAACGCTCCCCGAGGCCCGCCTCTCCTCTTCAGCAACTAATCAGTTGCCTCTTTAAAATGAGAGGGATGCCCCGGAAGTCCTACGGACCAGTGAGAGACGTGGGTTCGGAGCACATGGACTGAGAGAGATGACGGCGCAGGCGGGGCCAGTGCGCGCGCGGGGGCAGGAGGCCGTTCCGGGAATCTTCGGCTGTGTTGCTCGCGCGTGCGCAAAAGGCGGGCTGTAAACTGGCGCAGGCGGCAAACTGGCCCCAACGGCAAGGAGCCTGGGAAATGTAGTTCGTAGCGTTTAAGGTCTGGCACTTCTCTCAGCCGGTCCTAAATTTAGAAATTTAGACAGTTCTCCACGTCTTCGGAAATAAACAAGTTCCCCCAAAAGAGGCGCACTGAGACCGCTGTGCTACCTCCCCTGGGGAGGCAAAAGCTGGGAATAGGATATGGAGTGAAACCCTCTGAGCCCCTAAAAATCTCACAGCACAGACCACAATTTACAGGTTCTTCTCTCTTTTAAGGTTTAACTTTAATCAGCCAAACATCTTGCGTAGACCCTGAGCCAGCCCTGCATCCTGTTTCTTCCCCTCAATGACCACCTTTCCCAGTTCCTCCTGGGCAGCGCGGTTTTTGGGGTCTACCGCCAGCACCTTCTTGAGATCAGCAGTTGCTTTTTCCAGGTTCCCAAGGGCAGCCTGGGCAACCCCTCTTCGGTATAAGGCCTTTAAATGGCCAGGTTCCCGCTCCAGCACCCTGTCACAGTTCTGAGCTGCCAGCTGGGGCTGCCCTAGCAGCAACTGACAGGCAGCGAGGTTGGCATGAAGGATGGTTCGTTCTGGGGGGCCAGGTGGAGGTAAAGTCAACAGCAGTCGAAGAGCCCGTCCATAGCACCGGGCAGCCCCTGCAGGGTTCCCAGCTCGAAACAGTTCTGTGCCCCTTGCACGTTCTTGCCTGGCTAAGGCCTCTTTCTCGCTGGCCTCCAGCTCCCAGGAGTCCCGGCCCCGAGTGAAGGAGCCCAGTGTGAGCCTGACAGGAGGTCCAGAGTGACCAGGGAGCTGAAGCTCTGCTTCCTCACCTTGACACATGGACTCCAGGCATTTCTCTATGAGCTCCCCCCAAGTTTCATACCTCCACGGCCCTACTCCCACTGTTAGCTCTGTCCAGCCCTCCCGCAGCTCTGACCCAAAAGGAAACCCAAAAGCCAGAACCCGGCATCGGGAGCCTAGCTTGGGTTTGTCCAAGCCGTGTCCACGGATTATGATCTTCTTAACAAAGCTCCCATCAGGACAGTACCAGAGATCAGGAGCTTGAAGGGACCCTGGCATCTCACAGGTTGATTCATGAGCTTTATCAGAGTCTCCTTCAAATCCAGCGACCAGGTTTTCAGCCTCATGAAGATTCTTTGGACTTCGACTGGCTGGATCAGGGCTCACTCCCTGCCCGAGGGTTTCAGTAGGGGGGTCCCCGGGCTGCTGCCTACACTGAGTAGCTGAATCAAGTTTCTCCTGGGAGTTCTCTTCCCATTGTTGTCGTGGTTGAGAGATGTCTTTCTCTCCCAGTGGACTGACTGGTGGGATCTCCATTTGGCTATACGATCCCTTTCACCGTGGGTGTTCAGAAGAGGTTTTGGTGAGAAGAGAATGGATCAGGTTCAGGTCGGCACCTAAAAAGAAAGCCAAAAGCAATGCTAATTAATATTCTTTTCGGGATCCTTTAGCTTTTTCTCACTAGCCTCAAGTCCTGAATGTCCATAATTCCCCGGCCCCTTCAATCTGTCTTCCTCAAGCCCCGGTTCCACCCAGACCTAGTAGAACTATAAATTCCACAATTCCCTATAGTTTAGGTAACTGCCCTAACTACGGACACCCATTCGGGTCAGAAAGTACCTCAGCGGCCAAATTGCAAGAACCGGATTATTCGAATCATCTTTCCTTCCGAAGTTACGTGCTTTCTCAGTATTGTCTCTGGAGCCTTGTCCCAGATGCAGAGGACTGCTAAAAGGATCAGCTGAGGAGAGATACTGACAACCAATCCTGGAGACAGCGAGACTGCAAAGCGAGTCAAATTCCTGACAGCCAATCAAAAAGAGGAAATAACTTGTTTAGCCCGCCTACTGGGCGTGACATCATTTCCTCCGCAGTCGCAAAACTCCAAGCCTTAGCAACCGAGCTAAGCCCTAGCAACCAAACTAGGCCGAATCGAATTTAATCAAACGGGGTCCAGCTGGCCAGTTCCCTCGGAGTTGGAGAAGTCCCGGAATGAGAAAACGGGGAGAATGAGGATAAAGCGGAGAGTGGCTGGGGCAGTGTTTAATGATGGCGCCAGTGTACATTTTATCCGCCGATCTCAGACCCTTGCATGCTTTTATCGCTAGTTCTGAGATCCCAGCAGAGGTGAACTCCTTGGCCCATTCGGTCCCGGTTGTTCCGAGATAAACTCCCAGGCCTTTACCTCCCATAGGCCCCGTTCTGTTGGGCGACCCCCGGAGGCTTCTCGTTACCTTTCTCCTCACACCCACCACTGCCTTTCAAGTCCCTCTTCTCAGTCTTGGTGCTTTTCAAACTCCAAGGTGCACACAACACCTGAGGAAGTTGTTAAACTGCAGATTTGGACTTAGGAAGCTTGAGATGGAGCCTGTAACTGCGTTTCAACCCCGTCGTACCTGATGCTTGTGCCGCCGGGTTACCATCTAGAATAATCTCATTCCATTCTCTTCCCCTTTTCCTTGTCTGTGCCCCTTCTGTTTGTCCCATATTTTTGCATTACAACTGGTATAACCTGCTCCTCTGAGTGTAGAAGTGGAAAACTAGTCCTCCTCCTGATAGGAAGCGTAGTTTCTTTTTGTGATTCAGCCTGGCCTGGCCAGCTACCTGCACAGGCAGGGCCACCACAGCTCTTCCGGGAAAGAGGAGGCCTCTCACTCTGGCTTCCCTCTAGTTTGCTCTCGCACTCTGCCACTGTGCCTCAGACTACAAGGACCGTGACACCAGGACAGCGGGGGTGAGGGCAGTTTCATCATCAGACACAGACCCGGGCTGGAGAGTCACCTCGGTGGTGCCATCGCCTTTCTCACAAGTGTAACGTCCTGAGTTCAATCCCTGATAGCAAAAAACAAACCAAAACACAGACCCGGGTCAAAACCATCCTGTCCCTACACTGTGTGAAGCTCCATCCAGCCTTTTTTTTTTTTGGTTTTATTTTCTGGGATCTAAGGCACAGTAATCTTATTCTACTGCCCTGCTCTGTCCCTCATGGCTACCTACTCTGATTCTTGGAATAATCCCTGGGAACCTATTGAGAATTAATCCATCTCTTCACCCTTCCTCCTTTTCCCTTTCCATTTCAGGAATCTTGGGGAAAGGGAGATGGTCTAGCGGGCATCACATCAGGCTTGATCACATCCTGATACCTGGACCAAGATTGCTAGTTGTACTATAGGTGTTAACATTGGAGAGAGTCACTCTGTGACTCTTCAGAGAGGAAAAGTGGTAGTTATAGTCGAATGAGCAGCAGCAGCATTTTGCTTTTTTTTCTCCTTGTCCTAGCTCCTGGGGGCTTCATTAAAGGGGAAACATAGCAAGTTCAGGGCCAGCCTGAACTACGAAGGGAGACCTTGTCTCAAAAAACAAACAAACAAAAAGAAATCAACCAAGAACAAATGCTGGTGGGCTGTGGGGAAAAAGGAACCCTTCTCCACCGTTGGTGGGAGTGCAGACTGGTGCAACCACTGTAGAAATCAGGGGGGAGAAAACTAGAGAAAAAAATTAAAACTAGAGGCTCCATTTGACCCAGCTATGTCCCTTCATGGTATCTTCCTGAAAGAATTAAAAGCATCCTACCAGAGCAATACATGCACATCTGTGTTTATAGCAGCACAATACATAATATCTAAATTTTTGAAATGGCCCATAATGCCCATCAATAGATGAATGGAGGGCTGGGGATTTAGCTCAGGTGGTTCTGCCTCCTGCCTTGCAAGCACGAGGACCCAAGTTTGATCCCCAGTACCAAAAAAAAAAAAGAATGGATACAGAAGATGTGTTTTTTAAAAATACAGTGGAGCACTACTGTACCATAATGAAGGATAAAGGAGATATTTCTATGTAAATGGATGCACCTCGAGACCATACTCAAGTGAAATAAATCAGACACAAATGTTTAAATATTATATTGTTTCTCTGGTGTGACAAAATGAAAGTGTAAATAGGGGCCAAAATGTATAATAGATATTGGGACATAGGAAGAAAATGTTCAAATGGGAAAGGGAAAGGGAAAGGGAAAGAAGGTGGGGGTGGAGAAAAAAGAATAAAATGAGCCAGGCGTGGTGGCGCACACCTGTAATCCCAGCACTCAGGAGGCTGAGGCAGGAGGATCGCTGTGAGTTTGAGACCAGCCTAGGCTACACAGTGAGTTCCAGGTCAGTCTGAACTACATAGTGAGACCCTGTCTCAAAAAACAAAACAAAAGAATAAAATGGAAAAAATGGAAACAAAGTTTTTTTTTGTTTTTTGTTTTTTTTTTGAGACAGGATCTCACTATGTAGCTGAGACTGACCTGGAACTCACTATGTAGCTCAGGCTGGTCTCAAACTCACAGCGATCCTCCTGCCTCAGCCTCCTTAGTGCTGGGATTACAGGCGTGCGCCACCACACCCGGCTAATAAAATAAAATTTTAAAAACTAAATTGGGCCAAGGATTTAGCTCAAGTGGTTCCGTTGCCTGCCTTGCAAGCCCAAGGTCCCGAGTTCGATCTCTGGTACAAAAACAAAACAAAACAAACCTGTCCTAGGGCCTCGGTGCCCACCGCTCAGGAACCCTCTCGGAATTCCAGGAGCAAGTATTTTTCCCTTTATTTCTAATAAAACCCTCCTAATGTCCTCCTTTGGTTAGCGACTTCGCCCTTCACAACGTGAGGCGGGAGCTGTGTTTCCTGCATCAGCGTGGTGGGAGGCGGTTGCTACCCAGAGGTGCTTTGCAGACGCTTGGCGGAGGGGTGCGGCCGTCCCTCTGCACCGAGACCAGAGATGGGCCAGGCGGCTCCGCTCTCCCCGCTCCCGGCCGCTCTCCCAGCCCGCTCTGCCTCTCTGCTCTGGCGCCCCCTGCAGGCTGCGCTCGCCCTCCCTTTACACCGACGTGCCGGCCTGCAGCTCCAGCTCTACAGAGGCTAAGGTTCCCTTCTGTTTAGCTTGGGTGGTTTCTGTGGTTTAGTTCTGCTGGAGTTTGTGTCAAAATTGTTCCTCCCTTCTCTTTGCTCCCAAAGCTTTTGGCTTGGCTTGCCTTGTAGCCGGGGATTGGAGCCGGATGGGACTGGGAAAGACAGACAGCTCCTCCGTGAGTGTTTCAGAGAGCTGCTCTTTGGCACTCACAGATTCACCCGTCACTCAGCAGCGCCTTCTGTCCCTCTGTGGTGCTGAGGATCAAACCCAGGGCCTTGTGCAGGCCCGGCGCGGCTCTACTGCTGAGCTGCACCCTCAGCTTTCATCGTCACCTCTGCGTGCGTGCGTGCGTGTGTGTGTGTGTGTGTGTGTGTGCGTGCGTTTGTGTGTGCACGCGCCCTTGGGGATTGAACCTAGGGTCTCGGCATGAGTTGTACATGCAACACTTTTTTCTTGTTTTGCTTTGCTTTGTTTTGAGGCAAGGTCTCCCTATGTAGTTCACACTGACCTTGAACTCACTATGTAGCCCAGGCTGTACTCAAACTCGTGGCGATTCTCCTGCCTCAGCCGCCCGAGTTCTGAGATTGCAGTCATGCACCACTGCACCCAGCCTGTTCAGCAAATCCTCGTTAAGGGCCTCCTTGTGCCAAATGAAGGGCTGGGAATAAGGCAGTAGAAGAAAAGCACAGATGCTCCTGTGGTTGACATTCAAGGGAGGGTGTTAGGCAGTAAAAAGTGATTGATAAAACATAAAACAGCGTCAGACAGTCGCCGGGCGTTAGGAACACAGTAAGTCAGGTACGGGAAGAGGTGCCAATGACTCCCGCTGCGTACGGTGATATTTTTAACCCGGGGATGAGATGAAGGCCTCTGGTGGAGGTGATATTTGTGCAATGACATAAATGATGTAAGATAGCAGCCATGCAGCCACCTGCAGGCAGCATCTCTGGAGAAAAGGAGGGATGTGAAGAGGTCAGGAGGAAGGAACTGGACTTGTATGCTCAATCATAATAGCCAGAAGAACAGAAAGGCGGCCAGAGCCCATGGGGCAGAGCGGAAGGGAGGAAGTTGGGTAGAGAGGCACCAGGCCGGGGAGGCCATGGTGTGGACTTTGCATTTTGTCCTGCAGAGGCAGAAAGTTATGACGTCTTATGCATGAAGTCCCAGTACTCAGGAGGCTGAAGGAAGAGGATCACTGAGAGTTCGAGGCTGGCCTGGACTACATAGTGAGACCCTGTCTCTAAAGAAAAGAAAAGAAAAAAAAAAGATATGATGTCTTTCCTCACCCACCACAAGGGTCCCAGCCAACAACCTGTAACAAAAGGTGGGCAAGAAAAGAAATGCACAACAGATTTATTTAGTTAATGTTTTCCATTACAGAGTGAGGCTTCAGAAATGAAGACCCAGTCAGGCATGGTGCTACATGCCAATAATCCCAGCACTCTGGAGGCAGAGGCAGGAGGATCCCCGGGAGTTGCAGGCTAGCCTGGGCTAATAGGGACACCTTGTCTCAAAAAAAAAAAAGAAAAAAAAAAAAAAAAAGAAGCCATCAAACAAATGAACAAACAACAAAAAAAGCCCCAAAGACTGAAAGATTAGGGAAAACTCATTTTTTTTTTTTTGTGCTTAGATTTGATGAAGCTTGAACAATTGTGTAGAACAGTGACTGAACAAAATGGGCACAGGTGAATGGAAGATGCTCAGCAAGGATCGGACCTGGGTCCTTGGGCGCTTGTGAGGCAGGCAGCAGAACCACTGAGCTAAATCCCCAGCCCCTCAGCAAGGTCTTTCTGTTTGCCTGTTCCTTGGCTCATTTCCATGATTTCCCTCCTCCCGGTTGTGGAGCAGGACCTCTTCTGCACCCAGGGTCTCACGATGCACCAGGGCAGGCCAGAGAGTCTGTGGTC